CAGCTCATTTCCTTATCAAACTGCACACACTGCACCTGAGACACTGTTTATTTATTTAAAGCGAAGGATCGTCACATTAAATATTGACTTTGTTTCATTTATTACTGTTTACTGCTCTTTTGTAGTATTTTTTTAAATGTAGAAAGATTTAATTTCATTATTTTTTAAGGCATCTTTGCTCTACAGCATTTCTTTGCATGTGCAAAGACACAGTGGACACATCTGGAAGAAGGAGCAGGAGAAGATCAAGAAGTACCAGAGGCTGAACGAGCAACTGGAACAGATGTGGAAGGTGCTGAAGTCCAAAGTGGTCCCAGTGGTAACAGGAGTATAAGGGGCTGTGACTCCCAAACTGGGAGAGCAGCTCCAGCGGATTCTGGGTACAACATCTGAGGCGTCTGTCCAGAAGAGTGCAGCTCCAGGACCAGTGAAGATACAGAGAACCAGAGGACCTGAGCTTGAGGAAGACAACCCCTTGTAGACAGTGTAGAGCAGTACACAGTCACTGGTTTCTGAGTGATGCTTACAGACTCCTCCAGCAGGGGCGCTGTGTAGGTCTTCTGTATAATCCATAGAAGAAGAAGAAGAAGCAGAAGCACAAGAAGAAGAGCTGCTGTTTCCCTGGTTAGAAAGCTAGCTTATCATGCTAATCACCTCTACAGGAACATCTTTCTGATCTTTCATGTGATCAAGTTTTTTTTTTTAAACAACTGCTTACAGTGTATGGATTCAAGGTGTTTAAAGGTGAGTTAAAGTGAAGTTTGCATCTGTTGCAATGCTGTTTATCTGATAAGCCTTAGAGAGACTCAGTTATCCAATGAGATGTTGATTTATAGTCATCTTCATCAGTTTTCGCCTGAAAATATCATCAGAAACATAAAAAGTTCCATCATATCATAGTGATGTTCCTCTCTAAAGCATGCCTTCAAACATCTGACGTGGCTTCAGATTCAGCACATGCTTCTGGAGATCCTTTGCAAGTGTAAAGCTTTTATTTGATCTACTGAACTTATGTTCCAAATACAGTACATTTCACAATATTTTCGATCTTTTTTGTAATGTTTTCGTTCATATTTCTTAACAGTGTCACAGTAATTGAGGTTATTTTACAGGAGCATGTAGTATGCAATGTCCTTTGCAGGAGTGTACCATTTATTTTATACACTGGTTGAAACTGAAACATTATCAACCTCAGAAATGAAGATTTCTTCCTTTTGTTGTTAACGAACAGTAGAGTGCAGTTATTTTATCTAGTTAATGTAACTGATGGAACTGAAGTTCACTGATTTGCATATTAGATTTGAATGTTTTCACTATGCAAATGTATAAATAACGAACCTTTTATTTAAGAAAAAGATGTTATGTGCAGTAATTAATAAGTAAGTGAGAAGGTGAACTTTTATTAGCGTCTGCATTTTAATAAAAACAGACACGCATCAGCTTTTTTTTTTCCCCCCATCAAGCACCTGGTGGTTTCCTTAAAGCCGTAAAGCTCCAGTTTCTCCCACAGCTGGATTGAGCGCCGGGAATCAGCTTAGTCAACGAAATGAACCACATGTGGAAACTTCATTTACGTTTCTGAAAGTGTTATGGACGGTTCTTCATTTACACTTTGCTTATTTGAGTCTCTTTTCCAGTTTTACAACCTTTTAAGCCTCTTCTGATTTAAATAAGAAGAGATCAGACCGTGCTCTCAGAGAAAAACTCCAGAGGCTTACAGGTTAGGGATGAGAGGAGTCTGTTTTTAATGCATTCAACTTAATATTTGAATAAATAGAGGTTTAATAACGGCTGAGAAAAAGCCAGAGCAGACTTTTTTTTTTTTTTTTTGTCATGAAGCTTATGAATGCTGATGGTTTAATGAATACAAATTAAACTGGTTCTGTTCACCTGGATGCATTTATACCTCAACCTTTCCTTCCCTGCTGGCTTCCAGTCACATCCAGCTCATGAGCTTCAAAGGTAATTTCACAAAGATCGGGAAAAAAAAAAGACTGACTAATCAACTTTCACAGAAAATGAAGAAGAAAACTGATATAGTATTGTTTTTTTTTCTATCACTAGCTTTGTGAAGTTATGCAGACGGACGCTTCAGGTGGAGGGACATCGGACTCTGTAGGACACATCAGTCCTGAGGACCAGCACCATGGAGAATTCCAGAAGAAACCTATTAAAGAGGAAGAACCTGAAGATGAAGAATATTTCTGTAAGACAGCAGAGATCAGTCTGGAGCTAAATAACACTGTCATTGATCATTCTGTCAAACTATTATTCTGATTAGGTCTAATCTGTGATAGGTCTCATCATATATATTTTCTTTTATGATTTGTCCTTTACATCTTTTTAATATAACAAATATTACAAGTCAATTTAATTGCTGGAAGTTTAGATGGAGGGACATCAAGCTTCGTGAGACGCTTCACCCCTGTGGACCGACAGAATGAAGGATTTCAGGAGAAACATCTAAAAGAGGAAGAACCTGAAGAAGATGATTACCTCTGTAAGTCTACAGAAGACAGTCCGGTTTGGAGTGAATTAACACGATCACTGATAATTCAACCTTATTTGTTAGTCTGTGCTGAATTTTCACTGAAATTTGCTTCCTAAATATGTTACTTTAAGGTTAAGAGCATTGCTCAGGTTGGTGATACCAGGATTTGAACTCACAGAGCTTTAACCATCACTATCCATATATACAAATATTCTCACATACACAAACATACCAGCAAGTCACATTGCTCAGTATGACACGGAGAGGATCCTACAAGGCTGAGTGCTTGGTCTTCTTCTCTTTTCCTCAAGAATGATGGCCGGTCTTCATGAAAATATGCTAAAACCTGTAACATTCCCAATGAGTGGCAGTTTAAACTTAAGCATACAGGGATGCAGTATTGTTTTTTGGGGTTTTTTTTTTTTAGTTTATTTTGTATGTATATATATGAAAATGTATTGTGTTTTCTTAAGTAGTGTTATACTCTGTATACCACTGGAGAGAGCGTTGAACTTTTTTTTTTTTCCTGTAACATCTAACATGGTTAGCCCTTCCAGAGAATATTAGATCCTCCACCATACACAACATCTTAAGCACTTTTATATCCTTAGGGCTGTTCAGTTAAGATCATGTTCAATATTTCTAATAGGATTAAAATCCTGTTACTGAGATTTACACTCCTGGGCAAAAAAAAAAAAATGGGCGAAAAGCTTTTAATGGTCTTATTAACAAATCATTGGTCAGGAAATGAGCAAGAATGAAACAAACAGATAAAGGACGTTAGTATGCGAGAGCTTTTCCCTTTGATTTCTTTAAATGTTTAAGCCACGTGACTCTTGATGGTCTGCATCAGGTGCGTCAGAAAACCAAATAATCACTAATCTTTTATGGGGGAAAAAAATTCCAGAAGATATTTTTGGAAAAGTTTGTACTCCCAGAAATATGTTAGTTTGAATCTCACATCAAACATTTGATTCATTATCATGATTTTACCTTTGTACACAAGAAGACTATAGAAGTGAATTTCCCTGTTTCTAGCTTTTCCCCAAACAGCAAAAGGAAACCAGCGAATGGAGGCACAGGAGCTCTCAGGAGTGCATCTGCTTCATTCCTGCTCATTTCCTCACCAATGATTTGTTCTTAAGACCATTAAAAGCTTCATATTTTCCATTTGGGGCCAGGAGTGTATAAAACATTGATTTTGTCCCACAACCATTTCTCTGTTGATGTTGATGTATGTTTCAATGATCCGTCTATGGTTGAGGCAGAAGCAGTCAGTTCTTAGGATGAAATATCCTGGTACTTAGTAGAATGTCTGATGCTAACAACTGACTGGATTATTAGCCACAAAAAACCCTAGAAATTAGGAATGTGGCAGTTAATGGTCAAGGTAATGGTAATGGTCAAGGTTTAACCACCTGGTAGAGGTAGTTAATCCCTGTACTCGGCTGAATTCACGATTAATTTTCATAGAAACCCTAGAAATTAGGGATGTGAAACATTTTCCTAAAAAAAACTTATGTCACAGAAGTTAACTGAACTTTTACTGCACCTGATTAGTTAACTTTTATGTCTTTACTTCCAGACTGTGAGGATTGCAGCTCATTCTTCATCAACAAGTGTGAGGTTCATGGCCTGGCTGTCTTCATCTCTGATACCCCTGTTCCCATGGGGGTTCCAGACCGAGCCAGACAAACTCTTCCCCCTGGTCTGGAAGTGCGGAAGTCTGAGATTCCCGGTGCAGGCCTGGGAGTGTTTAATAAGGGAGAGATTGTTCCAGTAGGTTCCCACTTTGGTCCCTATCAAGGAGACTTTGTAGAG